GCTTCTCTGTGCGGGCGCTAGGTTGGCTGCTGGGTGGGAGTGCCGGGACAGACCCCTCCTCTTCGGCTGCCTGCAGACTCCCTGCAGCGCGGGGGCAGGGCCTGCCCAGCCACGTGCACAGCCCTGTGGCACCCCGCCACGGGCTTTGTCAGAGCAGCAGGCCGTGACGCCCAAGGCTCGCCGCGACCTCAGTAGGACAGGCCTTTAGCTGCAATCTCTCCATGTGGGGTCGGCACCACCCGTTGACCTCCTCTGGATTTTACCTTATCGAAGTGCTCACACGTTTATTTTAGCCGCCGAACTTATCTCATTTTGGGAAATGGGGGGTGGGGGGGCCTCGTGCCCCCCAGCAGAGCAAACCCCATGAATCAGGCGTTCGAGCTGGGCGCTCCTTCTGGCTTGGGCAGCAGTCGCGGGCTCCCGTGGTGCCCTGGCCCTGCCCGCTCAGCTCAGAAACTCGCCCTCCCTCCGCGCAGGACTCGCGTGCGTTCGCCGGGCGTGAGCACGCCGAGCTCCTTGCGGCGGGCCGGCTCCTGCGTGAGGAGGCCGAGACCCGGGGACAGCGGAACAGCTCTGCCACTCGAGGGGTCAGAGGCTCTCTGTTCCAGGTTCTGCGCCGCGGCCGGCTGAAAGTCGCTTCGTTCTTCCCCGTGGCCGGGCAGAGGGAGCGGCTGCCGTGTGCGGCGCGGTCAGCCTCCGCCGGGCCTCGCCCCGGGCGGGACGCCGGCCTCCGTCCGCTTTGCAGTCTCCAGAGACCTGGGGACGGAACGTGGAGTCCGTGACCCCTGGGGAGGGCCGGGCCTCGCGTTTCAGGGCCGCTGCGCGGGCGCCGCTCCGAGATAGCGCAGCCCCGCGCCGAGGTCCGGAGGGCCTCCTGCTCCCCTCGCCTTGGACGCCGGGTGGGGGGGACTGTCCCGCGGCGTGTCCCCGGCGGGTCGAGGCCCGTGCTGTGTTTATTCTTATTTAGACCTTACGTCCGTCCTATTTTAACTCCACTGAGCGGTGAGATCTTCACACGAAGTGCGTGCAGCCGGGTTTATTTTTGGAAGAACTGCTCTGTTAAGACCTTCATGGCTGATGAATTTAATTATTCCGAAAAATTGCAGCTTCTGCGAAGAAAACCGCCCCCCTGGGCGCAGGCGGAAGTGGGAACATTCGTGGAAAGCTCCCCTTTCCCGGCAGAGGTGTCGGGGGCTCCGGCTGGTGGTGGGGTTGGGGGACCTGCGCTTCCTTCCCCGCCTCGTCCCTCCCGGCGGCTCTGGAGCCCGCTCGGGCTCTGCGAGGAGGGTGGGCTGTCGCTGGGAGTGGACAGGGCTTGACAGGGGCCGGTGAAGTGCCCCAAATGCGGGCAGCTTTCCTGCCGTTCCCAGGTTCTCCTTTTAGACGAGCAAAGGCCGTTTTTTTTGGTTTTTTTTTTTGTTCTTGTTTCGGCGGGGGCTTTTGGGTTTTTTCCCCCTCCCGGTCTTCTGTTCTCTGTGGACCCAGGAAGTGCACACATGGAGCAGAGAGTCCCCACAGGCGGCAGAGGGTCTCTGCTGTGCTGAAATGGAACTTGCAGGAATGTCAGAAACGGAGCCCACATCATCCCGGCCGCCCGGGGCCCCGGTCTCCCTGAGGCCCCTGTGGCCTCCCCAGGCCACCTGCAGGCCAGCCCCCCACCCGCAAGCCGCCCGCGCCCCGTCTTTGCAGGGACTGCAGCACGGTCCCCCGCCCCGCCCCGGTCCCCCTCGCGGAGCCAGAAACCGACGAGCCTTTGTGTGTGCAGAGCAATCCTTTCCCTTAAGCTAACCTCGTACCTGGAACCAGCCTGCTCTCAAAGCTGTTTTCCTAGCGATGGCAAAAGGAAAAAAAGCTGTCTCAAAATCCTTTTTTTGGAAAGAACATGGATATAAAAAATTAAGCAAATACATAAATGAAACCCTCCAAAGAAAAAAGATTAAAAAAAAAAATCAAAGATGGAGCCTTTGTGTTTGGCCCGAGGAATAAATGGCAGGCTTTTTATGAGATACTTTTAGTGTTTAATTCTCTGTCCTCCTTTTTATGTTCTTGCAATGCTGAATCAGAGTGGTGGCTCTTTGTTTTTTTCTTTTAAGCCTTGCCCAGTCTTTGGGTGGAGTACGGGAGCGAGAGTGGGCTTTGGAATCACGTGTTCAAGTTGGCCTTCACCCAGGGACCCAGTGGGGGCTGTCCCGAGTGCTCAGCTCATGGAAACCCTGGGCCCCTCCAAGGTGCGTCGGGCCCCATTTCACAGGTGGAAACACGCAGGTGGCTCGTCAGTGGCCCAGTTGGGATTCGGAACCCAGGTTCTAAGCCCTTCCTTGTGCTGTCCCTCAATTATAAAGACCTACTATGTGCAGCAGCTGAGTTATCGCTATTTTGGGGGCAGGTCTAGGAAAGAGAAAGTTACAGGGCTGAGTGACTCGAGCTGGGTAGAGGGAATGCTGGACTGGGAGGGGAGTGCCCAGGAGGGCTTCCTGGAGGAGGTAGCCAGTAAGCTGAGGCTTCGAGATGGGTAGGATTTAGCAGGGTGCGGTGAGGCATGCAAGATCAGGTGGGACTGGGTTTAGTCCCTACCCCGGAGCTCACTGGCGTTGTCGGTCAGGTGACTTTACCTGTAAACAGAGCTGGCCCCCGCTGGGCCCAGCCACTCCCGCATAGACTTGTTAGGAGAATAGATGAATGGACGGCATGGGAGGAGCCGTGCACATAGTACGTGGTCAGGAAACGTTAGCGACCCTCTCCCCCTCTCCCTCTGACAGCCAGGGTATGGGTTGTACAGTCCGAGTCTGCAAGCCGGCGACCTCTGGCTGGCCCACAGGACTTGAATTATCTGCTCACATTTATAAACGGGGAGATTCCAACACAACCTCGTGTTTCCAGCTCCGCTTGCAACCTCGGAGGATCTGGCCAGTGTGGCCGGCGCTTCCAGAACACTCTGCCGTCTCGGGCTGAGCGAGGCGTGGCGTCCCCGGAGACCGAGTGGCGGGGGTGCTCATCCCCGCAGGCGCCCTCCCTGTCTCTGTCTCCTCGCTTGGCCCCTGAGCTGCCCCTGGCCGCGGGGTGCGGCCCTGCCGGGTGAACGCGGGCGCGGCGGGGCGGGTTGGCTGCGACTCCCTCGTGGCTGGCTGCTGGGTTCCGCGTGGACGAAGGCGTTCGTCTCGGAACCACGCCGACACTTAGGAGCACAAGCGAGAGGCGGTCCCTCCCCCTTAATCACCGATCTCACGGGATCGAGCCCCAGCCCCCCGCACGCTCACGCCCCGCGCACGCCGCCTCCGCCCGGGAACGAGGGCCAGGCCGGCGGTCCCGCTCCTGACTCAAGGCAGCCGGCGTTCCGCGTCTTTGAAGCGTTTGTCTTTCTGGCAAGTGGACCAGCACTTTAAAAACCAAAACATTCCTGGGATCAACAGAAAGCCTCGAAACTGGCGCGGTGAGGTCCTCCGGGAGGGAAAAGCTGCAGGCGCCAGAGGAGCCCCTCCTTCCGGACGTCAGACGGCCCTCGGGAGACGGCGATCGGGTTTAGACTGGAGGCCCAGAGGGCACCTCGTGGACTTTGGCGCCGTTTAGTGTCAGCGGCCACCAGGCCAGGCTTTGGGAGCTGCTGGCTCTGATCTGCCACTTGTGTGCTTTCACAGGGTCCCAGAGGCCCTTTTCCTGATTCTTGCTGTCTTTCAAGGCCGGCTCGGTCGCCGCCTCCTCCAGGCAGCCTTCCATGCTTCTCCCTGGAACGGGAGACCTCACCCTCCTCTCGGTCACTCGTCCCTTGCTTTGTTCCTCTCTTGGAGCCCATTGCAGAGCCGGCCTCACGCTCACAGGGCACACATTCTGGGCCACCCGGGCACCCAGCAGTTTCCCGTGTTCCTCCGAACCCCTGTGAGGTGGTTGCTGCTGCCATGCCCATGTCACAGATGGGGAAACTGAGCCTCAGTGAGGTGAAGGGACTTGCTGAAAGCCACACGCCAGCAAGTGGCAGAGTGAGATTTGGACCACGGCTCTGTGGCCACAGGCCTGTGCACGTCCTGCTGGCCGAGGGGTCTGCCGGCCTGCGCCCCTCCTCCTGGACCCTGGGTCTCTGCGTCGCTCAGGGCACCGTGCACAGCAGGCTCCTCCGGAATTTGCTGCTGCACGGGAGCCTGGGCGGCTCTCGTGAGTGTCTCCCATTTATTAAGGTTGTAAAATCCCTGGCCCTGTTTAGTGTCATCTTTGATGTTCAAGGGTGGCGTGGAAACGTCTCTGTTTTTATGTGACCCAATTTCTGGGCTTTGAAAATGCCGTTCCTTCCCTCCTCCCTCTCTGTGCATTTGAAATCAGGCGAGCAGGGCTGCCTCCTAGCTTTTCCCCTTCTGCCCGGCCCCCCGCTCCCCCCACAGCCCTGGCTCTGACGTCCAGGTCCGTCCAGGACGCCGGTGATGGGACACATCTCAGGTCTTTCTGAGAGGAGTCACAGGCTCGTCGTGATGACTCACCTGCGTGGCTCACCTGTGCCGCGAAGCTCACCTGTACACCTGCCTACAGGAAGCCTGGGCCTTTTGTTCTTCCTTGGCTGTCAGCACGATCATTGCAGGCGGCCACGGAAGGGACCTCCCTGGGCCTCTTCTGTCCTCTGCACCTGCAGGACGTGGCCCTCCGGGGGAGGGGATGGCGGCCCCACCTTCTCAGGCCCCGTTGCCCAGGTCCAAGCTTGGCCTTAGCAGCCTTGGCCAGATCTAGAAGCATCTGGAAGCCTCCGGAACCTTCCATGTCTTAGTCATGTGTTGCAAAGAGCAGTGAAAACAGCCTGGCAGAGCTCGGCTGGCGTTGGGAAGTATTTGGTGAGGGGGAAGAGTTGCGGAATGTATTCTTGGTTCAGAGCATTTTCCCTCGGGCTCTTTCTGGGCAACAAGCCTTTTAGGAATGTTTGTTAAATGCTGAAAAAACGGGAGTTTATTTCTCTCCACTTCCACAGCCAACATGTGAGGCTGTCTGTGCTAACCTGGGTTTTCTGTCTTTTTGCTCCACAGTGAGTGACCTGCAGGAAGAAGGCAAGAATGCCATCAACTCGCCGATGTCCCCTGCCTTGGTGGACGTTCGCCCTGAAGACACCCAGCTAGGTAACGCCGGTCCCCCCGTCTCCCCGCCTCCGTGGCCACAAGACGGTCGAGCTTCCGTGGCTGGAGATGGGTCTCGGCGAGGCTGACGAGGAGCCCGAGAGTTCTGGCCTCCTGACCCCATGCTGGTGGCTTCGAGGGCCTGGTCCTTAGCTGCAGGTCACGTTTAGGAAAGTCCGTAGGGAAAAGCACCTTGTCCCTCGTACACTGCTGCCCTGTCTGCAAATGCACGTTTTCCTGTTACTCAGGTCTGGGGGAGCCACGGTGAGGGGAGGCTGGTGCTGAGAGATGGTGTGTTGCCCCGCCACGCCCTGCCATGCCCTGCCACGCCACGCAGGGAGGAGGGGGGAGCGTGACAGGAGACTGTACCGTGGTTTTCTCGAGGAGGAGTGGGCGGGGCGGGGTGCGCAGCTCAGGACTGGCTGGTGGCCCTGGGCACAGCGGTCCCGAGTTGTCTGGAACCTGGCCCTGTCCAGCGGGATGTTGGCTCGGAGTCCAGGAGCCGGTCACAGAGGGGCTGGGGGCTGGGGGCTGGGGTTGGTTTGCACGTGAAAGGCTCGCTCTCAGGGCTCACTCCCCAGCAGTCAGCTGGCCCTGGAGGGCAAGTCGCTCCGGGCGAGCAAGGCCCCGTGATGTCAAAGCATCGGAAAATGGAAAACGGGATTGATTCACCCCGCATCTCTGTCCAGCCGGAGCCGCCCGAGGCGGGGCTCACTGGGCGGGCCCTGCCCAGTGGCGGAGGCCCCCACTCACCGTCTGGTCGTAATGAGGTGGCAGCCCAGGCACGCTTTCTGTAAGTGCGCCTTGGGACCCAGCCGAGCTGGAAGGCAGTTGTGGAACATTCTGCACATTTCCGACCCCCGTTTCCAAGGGAAATCCCGCTGATCCCTCCCCGGTAGGCCGGGCCAGCAGGAGCTTGTGGAGGGGAAATGCGAGCGCAGGTTCGGCCGCTGTGCTCCCCGAGGTCCGGCTGGGGCGTCCGGTGGCTTCTCTCTCCCCGCTGGCAGCTCTGTGTGTTGCCGCTGCTGTCGTCTCCGCTGCTGTCCAGGCAGACGCTCCCGGCTCACTCTCTGCAAGGGGAAACTGAGGACTCGCGTGGCCTGGGAATGAGCCTGCTTCCGTGCAGGTTTCCCCTCCCTGGCGCTGCAGGCCCCTGGGGCCGTCCTGCGCACTGGGGCTGTCGAGCAGCGTCCCGGCCTGTGCCCACCGGCTGCCGGCAGCAGCATTTCCCCACCAGCGAGGACAGACACAGGCGTCTCCGGACACTGTCCCGGGGCGTGGCGGCTCCTGGCCGAGAGCCCTGCTGTGGACCAGCAGGAGCCCTAGAAACGGGGAGCTTGTTGTGGACGTGACGGGCTGTTGCTTCTCAGCACAGACCTGCTGAACGGTGTTTGGTGACACTAAGGCTCCACACAGTGTCTGTGTCCTCCTCTGTCACCCATCACGGGTGCCGACCAGGCCTCACCTCTGGGTCAGGCGCCCTGTTCTTCACTGGTGGCCCTGCTGACAGAGGCAGGGCCCCCGAGGGGCTCACAGTCCTGGGGACACCCGAGCAGGCACAGCGAGTGCTGTTCAGTTCTAGGGGTGCCACGGGGACTGGACGTGGCCCGGAGCCCGTGGGCAGGGAGAGGGAGTTCCGTGTAGGAACACGGGAGTGCTGGGTTCTCTGCTCCTCGGCCCGTCTCCCGCCCGTTTGTGCGTGTGTGTGGGGGTGTGGTTGCCCCCAGTGGCTCTGCCACCCCCACCTCCAGATGCTAACCCGTGGCTCCCTTTTGTCCCTCGCAGAGGAGAACGAGGAGCGCACGATGATCGACCCCACCTCCAAGGATGACCCCAAATTCAAGGAGCTGGTCAAGGTGAGATCCGTCTTGGTTGGAGTGTGCTGTTAGGGTGAGGCCTTGGCTTGGGGTTCGGGGCTCTCGTGGGCACAGTCACTGCTGCGTTAGGAGGGGGACACCTGCCATGTGCCTGGCCCGGCCTGGGGCCTTAGAAAGCCTCCCTTGAGCTCTGCAGGGCGGAGCTAGGCAGCCAGGAGTGGGCGCCGGAGGGGCCCGTCAGTGCCTTCAGGTGGGGGTGAAACTCCTTCTGGGGCCCCCGGGGTCTGGATTCGGAGGCAGCCTGAGGACGTGAGTGCGGCCCCTCCGGCCACTGCTGCCCAGGAGACCTCTGACCCGGCCTCGTGGGGACGGGCGGGTCCCGGGCGCAGAGGGGCCGGCGGCGGCTGCCCTTCTCCCCAGCGAGGCTCCCGCTTGGCCGAGAGGCTTTGTCCGAGGTGTCTGTGCGGGTCCAGGCGCAGGCTGGGGTCTCGACTGGTCTGACCTACATACACCACAACGGGTTCCCAGGGAGCCCCCGACGAGGAGAGTTTGTGGGCTCCGGCGCCGTCCCGCCCTGGTGCACCCCAGGCCAGCTCCCGGGCAGGCGGCCGCGGCAAATGCCTTCTGCAGCCCACGGCCGGCCCAGGTCACCCGGGGGGCTTTGGAAGTGCTGCTTGTGACAAAGTGTGCCCAAAGCAGACGTTTTCTATTAAAAGTGCTTTTTGCGAAGTTTCTCCACCTTCGCGGCTGCGCTGAACCCGGCGCCGTGCTGACCAGCTGCGTTTCTCCCGGGCTCATTCAGGATAAGTAGCTGTTTGCAAGCTGTATCCTTTTAAAACATAAATTGAAAATGTCAGTTTTAGGGCCCCCTCAAAGATGTTGGTTCTTAACGACGTAAATCACCTAGTTTATTTTATTAAGATTTTTCCCCCCGAACACCCACTCTGTTATTTTAAACAGAACAATGTCGGCGAGGAAAGCACTCTTGTCCTTCAGCCACCAAAGCGTTATTCGCGGGGGATAAGTCGGCAAGGGACCGTGAGCACCTTCTGGGTTCTCCAGAGAAACAGAACAATGGCACGTGCACGGAAAGAGCTTCGCTAGGAGGCCTTGGCTCACGGAGCCCGGGAGGTCCTTCTCTCTGCAGACGGAAGCCCCTAACCCTAACGGTGCCGGCTCCCGTCTCAGCGGAGCCCGGCTGAGCGTGCGGGGCCGAGCGGGGCCCTGGGGCCGGAGGGCGGAATGAGTCACTGCCCTCCCGCACTCCCAGACGCTGCAGCCCCGCCACCCCCCCTTCGCTGCATCGCCGCTGAAGACCCCGGCCTCGGTTTCAGCCTTGGTGGGGCAGGGACTGGTCCACGTTGGCCCGCCATGGGCGACCACATCCTCGTCCCCGGCGTCCGTGGCCAAACCAGCGGGACCCGTGGAGGCTCCGGCTGCTCCGTCTCTTCCGGATTCTAGACTCAGATGAAGGGTCAGGTGGCGGGGTGTGGGGTGGGTTGACCGTTCGGGGATGTTAACATCGCTCAGGGCACACTGGGACCAAGGACAGGAATAAATGCTCTGCCCGACCCCCCCGGGGCTCTGTACGGCTCTGAGGTCAGGTTATGCAGGACACGGGCCACGATGCTGAGTGTGGGCTGGGTTTTCTTCCAAGGCTGTGGCCAGCTTGGGCATGCGCCTGCCTCCTGCCCTTCCCTCGGTGCTGCCAGTCTGGGCCGCCCCCTGCCCCCCAAAACAAAAGAGCGTCGGCACGAGCTGTGCCCTGGCTCCCTTTCTTAGGGAACCCGGCGTGCTGGGCCGAATCACGGCCCCCAAGGATGACCACACTGTAGTCCCGCGAAGCTGTGACAGTCATCTTACGTGGCAAAAGGGACTCTGCAGATGTAGCTGAGTCTAGGATGCTGCAATGGGGGATCGCCCTGGAGTGTCGGGGTGGGCCCGGTGTGTGCCCTAGTGAGGGAGGTCTGGCTGCGATCGAGGTGGCAGTGTGACAGCGGAGGCCGGTGCCAGCTGTGGGCTCTGAGGATGGAGGAAGGGGCCACGCACCAAGGACCGAGGGCGGCCTCTGCTTCTAGAAGCTGGACAAGACAAGGAAACGGATTCTGTCCCAGAGCCCCCAGGAAGAACCAGCCCTGCCAACACCTCCATCCATCTTGGCCCAGTGGGACTGGCTTCGACCTCCAGGACTGCAGGAGGACCCTGTGGTGCTGTTGGAAGCGCCAGGTTTGTGGCACTTCGTTGGAGCAGCCACGGGAAACTCAGGCACCGCCCCGAGTGATCACCCTCCTCCAGAGTGTCGCTGCCTGCGCGGCAGCGTCCTTGCCATTTCTGTCTGGCCCGTCTGCCCAGGCATGAATGTCCTGTTCCTGCAGCCACCCCGCAGCCGGAACGTGTGTTCTGAACGGGCAATTTCCAGCAGGGTCCACCAGCTCTCAGACCGAAGCCCAGATCATCGCAGCAGGCAGGTGGCACGGACTTTCAGCCGATCACCGTATTTCTAAAGGAAGCAGGGAACACGGGCCGGGAAGCCCGTCAGTGTTGTCTGTCCGTCGCCCTGCCAGTCGCCTGTAGTGGCGACGGTGAAGGGTGGTGCGTCGCGCTGTTCGTTCACGTGCCTGCTGCCTTCTGCAACCGAGAGAGCATGGCGTGGCGGCGGGAGAGATGTTGTGCCCCGAGCTGCGTGCGCTCCCGGATGTGCGGGTTGTCAGGGCGCGTGGGGTCACACGGGTGTTTCCCCGAGTTAGGGTTTGTTCACGTCAGTGGGTGGTTGGCACCTCCTTCTCCAGTGTGGGAAGGAGCCGGGCCCTGCCCGCACCAGGCCGGGCAGCATGGGGGTGAGTGGGGAGGGGGTCACCCTGCCAGCTGCTGCCAGAGCCTCGGCCGGCACCACAGCCTGTCCTTGGCGCAGCCCCTGCGCTGGGGCTGACACGCTCTGCCCAGCGCCTTCCTGCGTCGTTCCCGCCTCCCCTCCTCCCTCGCCGTGCCCCAGCTGCCCCCCGACACGCTGAGCAGGCACCTGCCAGGGTGTGGGGAGAGGGGACCGTCCCCACGGTCCACCCGCCCTTCTGACGCCTGGGGCAGGTTCCCGGCCTCCAGAACGACCTCTCGGTTTGGTTGTTTGCCGAGGGGCCCCCCGGAACTCACCGAGAGCTGCCATACTCACAGTCCTGGTCCATTCTGGTGAAGGGGTACAGAGTAAAGTCAGCCAGAGGACAGGGTGCCTGGCGCGGAGTTGAGCAAGCACCACCACGCACTTCCGTTGTCCTCTCGCCGGAAAGCGCTACCTCCAGGGCGACGTGGGACAACACGCGTGGAGCATTGCCGGCCCCGGTGTCAGTTTCTGTGGGCCCTGTCACGTTGGCGTGGCCAGTGCCCGCAGCTGCTCTGGCTCCAGCCCCTGTGGCCGCTGACGCAGCGCGACCCCAAGTCCCCACCTGAGCCACACGGTCACTGTCTGCCGGCCCGAGGCCCCAGGTCAGCAAAGGTCCTTTATCAGGCAGAACATCGGCGGGCTCAGAACTCACCCGGGAGCCGAGGGCACAGCCCAGACCTCCCTCGGGCAAGGTTAGGTCCTTACCGCGTGCCTGGCCTTGGCACTCTCAGAGCCCCGCGCTTGGAGCCCGCCTCTCCTCTCCCTTCGGTCTCCTCTCCAGGTTTCCTCCTGGGAGACCAGTTCTCCGCGCCGCTCGCTCCCCACGCTCCCTCTTTCCCCGGTCACCGCTTCCTTCCCGGGCCTGCTGCTGCCCGGAGTTGTCATCTATTCACCAGTTTGTTCTTGGTCTCTCCTGTCCCCTAGAAAGTCATCTCACCCTGCAGGGCCACGACCGCTGCTCCCGGGGGAACCCCAGGGCCTGCAGGCCCCGCACGAGGGGGCGAGTGGTTCTTGCCGGGTAGTGAGAGATGGACGGGTCTGTGCCAGCAGCTCCAGCTGAGGTTCAGGTTACCACCACCAACAGGGCGGGCAGCGTAGGGACAGGCCACGGTGTTTCGCCCCAGCCCCGACCTGCGGGATTCGCACCTCTGGGGACGGGGCTCGGGGTGGGGCAGGGGTTGGGGGACTTGAGAACTGGATGCTGATGCGGCGGTTCCGGGTGTGCACTCTGGGAAGAGACGGCCCGTCTGGGTGTTCAGACAAAACCCCTCCGTCTGCGTTACCTGCGTGGTTCTTGCTGCTTTTCCAGGTGCCCGTTGAGTGCTGTGGACGGTGATTATCTGAGCTTCTGTACGGATGGGACCCGCTTCCGGAGGTTTCTTGTAGGATTCGGTCTGGAAGCAGATGTACGGTGTGCAGGCCTGACCAGGTCAGGGGCAGCCAAGGTGTCTGGTCGTGGCCGTTCCTTGTGGCCGCACCCCAGTTTGAGGCTGGGGAGCTTTTCCATAGGAGCTTGGTTGTCTCCTCGATTTCTCTCTGTTCTCTGTCACCTGCGCTCTTTTCCTCCCGTCTTGGTTGCCTGTCCTGGCTGCCCCTTTGCGCTGTCCCTCGCCCTATGCTTCCTCGGGACTGTCACTGCTGAAAACACTGTGAGTGGCCCTAGGCTCCAGTCCTGGGCTCTGGGTGAGCCAGGCGTTGGAAATGAGGCCGGTCGTTCAGAAGCGGGCTCCGGGCACCCCTTGTGTGTGGTGTCTTGCTGGGGTGAAGGTAACTCTCAGGTCAGCTGAGTGGATTCAAATCCCCGCTCAGATCAAAGTGGGAGAATAATAGCGCCGACCTAGAGGTGTCATCGTGAGGGTAACACAAGATCACACACGTAGCCGGGCGCGGTGGCTCACGCCTGTGATCCTAGCACTCTGGGAGGCCGAGGCGGGCGGATTGCTCGAGGTCAGGAGTTCGAAAGCAGCCTGAGCAAGAGCGAGACCCCGTCTCTACTATAAATAGAAAGAAATTAATTGGCCAACTAATATATATAGAAAAAATTAGCCGGGCGTGGTGGTTCATGCCTGTAGTCCCAGCTACTCGGGAGGCTGAGGCAGGAGGATCGCTTGAGCCCAGGAGTTTGAGGTTGCTGTGAGCTAGGCTGACGTCACGGCACTCACTC